TCAACTCTGCGGCATGTGGCAGTGCTGCTTCGCCATCCAGTTGCTGACAGCCATTATGGAGGTGGCGCTGTTCTGCCACGAGGTCTCGAAGCACCGCCGCCACGCGCTGGAGCCTGAACATGTGATGCCAAGGGCTACTGAGATTGCAAGTTTTGAGGCCGATGTATCCATCATCAGCCACCATCCTAGATGGGCAGCTCTGATGCTCGCTGCCGCTGCCTGCTTCCTCTCTTCCAGCTGCCATTAATGCCTCTTGCAACTGGCCTGGTGGTGCTCCTTCATGGCGCGGGGAGCCGCCGACTGCTGCTAGCTGGTGCAGACTGCGCCGCGCGATACAGCGCAGCAGTGTCCCAAGTCCCGCATAGTCCATGCCCGCGTTGGCCGCCAAACTTCTCTGAACCAATCGTTCAAACTCAGCCAGGCTGCAGGCAAACATGAAATGGTAGCAATTCAGAAACCTATCGGCCTCTGCCAAAATGACCTAGCTTCCTGAAAAAAGGAGAGGGCCGGTCTTGCCTGCAAAGCTCCCGGCAGTCCTCGATGCCCTCCTCAGCCTGCCGCCGTTCCAGTCGCAGCAGCGCCCACGTCCAGTGCACGTTGTGGCCATTGAGCCAGTTGTGGTTGATGCTAATACAGTCGTCGACATTCTCCACTGCAAAAATATCGGGGGCAGTACCCAACACGCAGATGTCAGGAAGCAGGTTGGAATGCTTCAGCGGAGGCCACGCTGCTGTGGGTTGGCAGGTGCAAAGAACATGGCATTGGGCCTACCCGTATGCCACCAGCCTGAGGGTACAAAAATGGCGTCGCCCGGATGCTGAACCACGGTTACGATGTGCGAGCGTGCCTCTTCAAGTCGAGGGTACAGGCCTGCATGCACGAGAAAGGGCCGGTCATTGCACAGGGACTGCCACTGCGACGTGGAATGCCTGACATGCATGCCCCCCCTCCATTGTCACGCCTTGCAGCAGCATAGAGGCCTGCCAAACGCTGCACCTTCAAGGTCTTCTGCAAAGAAATCCCACGCAGGGATACGACCATGGAGGTCCAGCAGCAGGTGGCTGTACTGCAAGCGGGGGACAGAGGCAGCAGGTGGCTGAAGCAACAACAGGGATGCATGCCCCTACTGCCGTCAAGTTAGGGGAGCCCCACCTGGGGCGGCAGCAACCGCCACAGTTTGCATCCCACCACATTAGCTGACCAGCTGAAGCTGCGCAGCACATCTGAGTGCAGTGAAGTGCTGGTGCCCTGCAGGGAACAGGGGCAGCCACTGGCCAGGTGCTCCATCGCAGGGGCCTCATCGATCGCCTTGTTTTCACCTCCAGCTACCTCACTTCAGCCTCCTACCTTTGCACCCAGATACACAAACCGATAGTCGGCTGTCCTGACATCGTGCTGCGGCTGCGGCTGCTCACGGGCATCGTACAACTCATTCAGCCAGTCGTCAAAGAAGGAGGGGCAGTGGTAGGCTTGATACTGCGGATCAAAGGCCGCCAAGTGCCAGTCCTTGCAGTACCACAAGGGACCAGGAGTCAGCAACGTGCTGGATGCCCTCATTTCCTCCTCCTCCTCCTCCTGCTGCTGCTGCTGCTGCTGCTGCTGCTGCTGCTGCTGGTTGTGCTGCTGCCACCAGTCAATGTACTCTGCCAGCAGCATCTGCCGGCAGGGCCCGCTCCCCTCGTGCTCTCTGCGTGCACAAGAAGCCCGTTGCAAGAGGGGAGTCATCCCGCAGCAGCCTTTACCTGCTGGCTGGCACGCACTCGCACCTGGCAGCGTCTGTGACCATGACCTGCGCATGTCCAAAATGCTGCCGCAGGAAGTCGAAGTCGATTGCGCCGCATGGGGTAACCCAGTCGACTGCTGCCCGCCAGCCCTCCGTCGCACCCTCAACAAGGACCGGGGCATTTGGCTCCATAAACTCCAGGCAAAAACGCGCATAGCTCAGCTCTGAGGCGGGGAGGCGGGGAATGGAGCTGGTCTCGGCGGCGGGCGCCAAGCCGGGCTCCGCCGGCGGCGGTGCGCCGCTGTCGCCAGCGGTCAACACAACCTGAACGCACATTCGCGATCGATCTATTTCTCGCCATTCAGTGCAGCGGAGCATCCACACGACAGCACGCCATGCCAACCTCTGTAGTTGCAGCAGCAGGCCGAGAGAGGAGCGTGCGCCAGGGTTCGTGCATCTGCGGCCAAATGATGGATAGACGAGCGATGCCCTGGGGGGAGGGGGCCAGGCATTATGGCAGCGGGTCGCCGTGGCGGCAGCGTTGGCAGCGGGCGTGCCTTGGAGCCGTTGCCGGCCTTGCCTGGCTTGGCATTCCTGCCTGGTGAGAATCGACAGCAGATACATACCACATGACATTTCATGCAGGCTGGGGTTGGTGCAGGCAGTTTCTCGCTGCGCAGGCCGACCGATGCTCACCGACTCACTGTGGAGAGGCAATAATACAGTTGGGCATCAGTTGGGTATTTGATGAATCAATGGGAAGAATCCGAGGCACAAAGTTGGGCAGGGACATACAGCAAATAGCAACCATACGGATTCATTCCTCAATTCACAGGCAGCGACAGCCTCCCGACTAAGGTGCTCAGGCCTGGCCATCCGGCGCGGGGCAGCCGCTGTTCTCGCCAACGCGTCCCACTCCGCGCGACACCACCCCCGCCGCGCCCACATTGAAGCGGTGCAGCCAGCGGGTGTAGTAGTCGTCCAGGTAGCGCTGCCGG